AGCAATAGATAAATGTTGAGCTACCTAAAACCATGGTAATTCCTCCACCTTTTCCAAGTCGCTTTACAAAATCTAAAAAGGAATAGCAAGAAAAGGACACCCTAGATGTGTTTCAAAAATTTAAGGTAAATATTCCCTTTTTGGATGCTATAAAATAAGTGCCTAGATATGCAAAGTTCCTTAAGGAATTATGCACCACAAAAAGAAAACTCAAAGGTGATAAGAAAATCCATATAGGAGAAAATGTGTTTATTGTCCTCCAAATGAAGTTACCCCCAAAATCTAAAGACCCGGGTATGTTCACCATTCCATGCAAGATTGGTAATATAAAAATTAAAAAAGCTTTGATAGACTTAGGAGCTTCAATAAATGTCATGCTAGCTCAATATATCACTCGTTAAATGTTGGACCATTAAAAGAAATAGGTGTGATCATACAATTAGTCGATAGGTCAATCGCATATCTTGAAAGAGTCTTAGAAGATGCTTTTGTTCAAGTAAATGAGTTGGTATTTCCTGTAGATTTCTATGTGTTAGATATAGAAGAGGATAATTCTTTTAAATCTATCATAATTTTATTGGGAAGATTATTTCTTAAAACATCTAGAGCAATAATTGATGTTTGAAAAAGTATCCTTACTATGAAATTCGATGGTGAAATAACAAGATTCAATATATATGATACTATGCGATTTCCTAGTGAGAGAAATCTTATTTTTGTTATTGATGTGATTAACTCTTTAGTATAGCAGATTTTTGAATTGACTGATTCGGATGATTTGAAGGTTACTATTAATGAGAATGTTGGTCCTAAGGAGTTAGAGAAATTTGTGATATGTAAGGAATTGAAAGATGCAATGTTTTGGGATGGAATCACTTAGAACTTTTAAGTATAATGTCTCTTTCATTAAACTTACAATATCTCACACCAAGCTTTTTTCATCAATTTTACGAGCACCAAAGTTGGAATGAAAAGCTTGACCAAGTCACTTGAAGTAGACATTTTTAGGTGATAATCAAAACTTTCTAGTGATAATTTTTAGCAAACTTACCATTCTTGAATTGATTAGAGTGCTTAAAGACCATAAAAAGCAACCGGATGGATAATTATATACATTAAGAGAATCATTCCCTCCACTTGTATGCATCGTATACTACTGGAAGAAGATTGTAAGCCTTCTAGAGAGGTTCAACGCAAACTTAATCCACCAATGATGGAGTTCATCAAGAACGAGGTGCTGAAACTCCTTGATGTAGGTATGATTTTTCCAATCTTAGATAATAATTAAATAAGTCTAGTTCGAGTTGTGCCTAAAAAGAGTGGTTTTACAATAATTGAAAACAACGATGGTAAGTTAGTCCCTACTTAGAGTTCAAAATGGATGGCGAGTCCGCATAGACTATAGGAAGCTAAACGCTTCCAATAGGAAAGATCATTTTTCCACTACCATTTATTGATTAGATGCTTAAAAGATTGGTTGGACGTTCTCACTATTGTTGTCCGGATGGATATATGGGTTTCAATCAAATACCGAGTAGCACCAAAAGACCAAGAGAAGACCATATTTATATGCCCCTTTGGAACATTTTCTTATTGTCGCATGCCATTCAATTTGTGCAACACTCTAGCAACTTTTCAAAGGTGTATGGTTAGTATTTTTTTATATATTATGTAGAGAATTGCATAGAGGTATTCATGGATGACTTTATTGTTTGCCATAATTGATTTGATATATGTCTAAATAATCTAGTAAAAGTATTAAAAGGATGTATTAAAATAAACCTTGTATTAAATTATGAAAAATGTCATTTCATTATTCATCAAGGTTTAATTTTAGGTCATATAGTGTCTTCAAAGGGAATAGAAGTTGATAAATCGAAAGTTAATCTCATTAAGTCATGACCATATCCTACATGTGTATGGGATGTGCATTCCTTTCTTGGTTATGCGGGATTTTATAGATGGTTCATCAAAGACTTGTCTAAGATTTCTCATCCACTTTGCTAATTGCTACGGAAAAATGTTCTTGTTGAATTTAATGAAGATTGTAGGGTAGCTTTTGACCATTTAAAGGAGCTATTAACTTCAGCCCTTATCATTCAACCACCAAATTAGGATATTCCATTTGAGATAATATGTGATGCTAGCAACTATGCGAGTTGGTGCCATCCTTGATCAAAGAATTGGAAAAGCTACTCATGCCATCTATTATACATCGAGGGCTTTTGATAATGCTTAGCATAATTATTCCACTATAGAAAAAGAATTGTTTCGTTGTTATATTTGCTCTAGAGAAATTTTATTCATATTTATTAAGCACTAAAGTTCTTTTTTATTTTGATCATGCATCTTTGAAGTATCTCCTCAAAAAGAAAGAAGCAAAATCAAGATTTATAAGATGGATTCTTTTACTACAAGAATTCAACTTAGAGATTTTAGATAAGAAAGGAATAAAGAATTCGATTACTGAGTTGTTTGAGTAGATTGGTGATTAATGAAGATTCTATACCCCTACAAGACTCTTTTCCAAATGAATATCTCTTTAACTTATAAAATTCAACACCATGGTATGCAAATATAGTTAACTTTTTAGTCACTAGAACTTTGCTCGAGGACTTATCTAGAGCACAAAAAGATAAAATTATGAGTGATTCTAAATGTGTGATTCTAAATATTATTTTTGGGATGACCCATATTTATGGAAGCATTTTTTAACCAAGTAATTCACGAGTGTGTTCATAAAAGTGACATCTCATCCATTCTTAAATTCCGTCATTCATATACATGTGGTGGTCACTTTGGTCCAAAGAGAATAAGCACGTAATATGTTAGAATATGATTTGTTTTGGCCTACTCTGTTTCATAATGTATACATGTTCGGTAATCCATGTGCTACTTATTAAAGGAGTGGTAATTTAGGACATAGAGACCAAATGCCCTTTACCCCTATCTTAGTATATGAAGTTTTTGATATATGGGGTATAGATTTTATAGGTCCATTCCCATATTCTTTTGGTAAATTATATATCATATTAGCTATGGATTATGTTTCAAAGTGGATAGAAGCTAAAGCCATAAGAACTAACGATGTTAAGACTCGTTGTAGGCTTTGTCAAAACTCATATTTTTTCTAGGTACGGCACATCAAGAGCTATAATCAATAATCAAGGCATTCATTTTTGCAATCATGTGGTAAGAGCATTGCTAAAGAGATATAATGTCATTCATAAAATTTCAACTGTCTATGACCCATAGATAAATGGTCAAGCTGAATTTTCGAATAGAGAGATTAAATTGATACTAAAGAAGACTCGTCAATCCAAATAGGAAAGATTAGAGTGCATGCCTTGATGATGCCTTATAGGCATACCGCATAGCGAAACAAAACTTTTATAGGTATGTCTCCATATCGATTAATATTTGGTAAGCCCTGTCATCTTTTAGTAGAATAGGAACACAAAGCTTATTGGGCAATTAAGCGAGTGCAATATGAAGATGGATGAGGTTGGGGGCTATAGAAAATTATAATTGCAAGAAATTAGAAATTATGCTTATGGGAATTCTAGAATTTATAAGGAGAAAACAAAGATTTTTCATGATAAAATGATTTTCGGGAAAAAATTTTCTTTTCGTCAAAAAGTTCTCCTATTTCATTCAAGACTTAAACTATTTCCTGGAAAGCTAAGGTCTTGTTGGGTTGGTCCATTTGTTGTTACTAATGTCTTCTGTCATGGTGCGGTAGAAATTCGAGTATTTCAACTAATAAAATCTTCAAGGTTAATAGACATCGTCTTAAACCTTATAACGAAGAATTCCAGATTTGCAAGATGGAAGAAGTAGTTTTGGAACTTCCAAATGATGAAGAGTGATTGGTGATTATGTCTTGCTAAAGACGTTAAAGAGAGGCACTAATTGGGAGGCAACCCAAAAAAAAAAAAACATTATTGCCTTTGATATTTTGAATTTTCTTATTTTATTTATTTTCGGTTCGAAGGAAAATTTTTAGCGAGCATTAGCTATTTCATTTGAGGAATGTATTTTGGATTTACTAATAAACAATTTTCATTGAGAAGTAAGAGGCACACAATTTCTTTAGGATGTGCCCATGCCTTACCTTTTAAATATAACGAGCTTCTTCAACCTCTATTCGATGTTTTTGGACATCTACAATCTCCGGGTAAAATTTTTTGTAAATCTAGAATGCTTTGCGAGTCTCATGGTAAAAATGGATGAATAGTTACTTTTCCTTTATTTATCCCTTCCTTTTAGTCCTACTATTTACTTGCATTGCCTTTTCTTTTATTTTACTATCACTTGCTTATTTATTTTTACCTTTTTACTTTTTGGCTATCAATTCGCGAGTTGCTCTCACATTTTTCAATATCAGTCTTCCTTATCTATCTACATCACATCCAAACCCTAGCGACCCAAGCCTTATCACCGCTGTCGCTCCATGACTCAACCATCGGGGATCTCTCTCCATTGCACCCACAGCGACCACACATAGAATTGATGGTACTGTGATCATGGTTCATTATAAAAGTTTAGTAAGGAAAAAAAAGTGGAAGTATGGATTAAACCACCCATATTAAGACATAAAATAGGCAATGGTAAGTGTGTGCTTCTTCCTTTAGAAAATCAAATGGGTGGTAATGTCAAATTTAAAAAGAAACGAGCACCAAGACATGTATGCTACTCTTTTGACCCGTAAGATAGTTCCTTGCAAGTATATTGAAAATCATGTGGTTGTTACTCTACCTTTGGCTTATTATCGAGTTTTGGTTATGAATTCGGGATGGGACAATTATTTCTCTATTCATTATCCCGTATATTATGAACTAACCAAAGAGTTTTATGTCACTTATGAGTTTAATTATCCTAAAGACATAGCTATAGACACTCATGGGGTTATTAAATTTAGGATGCTTGGTGTTAATTATGATTTTTCTTTGATCGAGTTCAATTTGACTTATGAGTTTATTCCCCCGAATTTACCCACTATGTTGAATATGAGGAAGCACCATGTGACTTTGTTGATCATTTGGAACCAGCCACATTTTGGCCATCACTCTCTTCGGATACCGGACCTTATCATGCAAGCACTTTCCGCTCCACTTATCTCGCATTCACCATATTTGCGTTACATTCATAGATTCTTATCTATTTCCTTTTACGGTACCATTGATGACTCTTCTAGAGTGAGTAAGACTAAATTCTTCTTCTTATTTTGTATGGAACATAGTATTAGACTAAATTCTTCTTCTTGTTTTGTAGGAACATAGTATCAAGATCAATCTTACGGGTTGGTTGGGTAGGCAATTCTTTTTTATGGTTAAGAAAAAGAGAGGAAATTTGTGCTTAGGTTCAATGATCACTTTTATTGTTGTCAAATTGGGTGTTTTGGACATGAAAAATACTAACATGCACATTGCTTGTGAGATGAAACATTTGGACCTTGATTATTTACACAAGATGGGAGTTGTCTTTAAAGATAAGAAGGGTACTACCACATAACTCCACCTAGACCGGGCCTTGCACCTTGGATAAATCATTCCAAGCATAATAGACCGATTGCTATAAGCTCGATGAGGAGGCTAATCCTTTTAACACCTCATTTTCACTAGCACAATTGAAGGAGCAGCAAGACATTATAGAGAAGAATTTGATGGCTTACTTTGCTCGTGTTGGATTTAGTCCTGCTTATCCACCCCCCAACTTAGACTGTTTCATAACTACCGAAGGTTGATTTCAAGGAAGTTTACCGAACACTTCTATTCCCCGATTATTTTATAACTTTTTGTCTTTTAATGATCATCATTGCATTTTTCGTACATTAAGGACAATGTATGTGATAGGTGTAAGGGAGGTAGTTTGGGGAAATTTTTCAAAATGAAGCATACTAATTTTCCGGGCTGATTTGAACTTGTAATCAATCAATGATGTAAACATATAATTTTACAATTCTACCAATTAATTCAATTAACCTTAAAATTTAGGGTTTGACCAAATTACACTAATATAAACTTCAAGGATGATTTTCTATCAATCAACCTTTCAAACATTATTCTATCACCATTACATAAAATCAACCTAATCTTCTCCATTCTTTAACTTAGTCGAAGCCCATGTCCTTATATTTACCAACTTTAGTCTTCCTATATAGTCATAATAAACACTTAATCACGCTTATTTATCCATCAAACACATAAACTAAACAAGAATTCTCCAAGATCAACCAAACATACAATCATTTAATCCTAAACCCATAACTTCCAAAACTCAAATATTTCATCAATCAAGCATCTAAAATCATTATTTCTTGTGTTGTAGTTGAGACTACACTTACCTTAATGATGTTTGATAAAGAACTAGCTTGTTGCATGAAATTTTATTCTCCTCTTTCTTTCTTCCTAGTTTCAACTAAGAGCTCTCCCCCTCCTCTCACTCTACTTTGCTTCCTTAAGTCTTCCAATGGTGATTTTAGGGGGTCATTGTGGTTTATTTTTAGGATTTTAGGGTTGATGATGCCTATTTCCTTATAAATTTATTTGATTTCCTTGGGTTTCTAAGTGTTTTTGCTTTTGTTCATCAATCTATTCCTTTCCTCTCCTTGGAAGAATATATGGGGAAGGAATTGCCTTGAATAAGCCGAGAGTATGGACAACTCGGTTTAATCCTAATATTTCCTTACCCACCTAAATTTTCTAGACTTTTCTTTATTGTTCTTTCTTTATTTTCCTTCGATTTTCTTTTCTTCATTTTCTTTGTTCTTGGCTGAATAATTTAGCCTCTCTCATCCATTCTTCTTTATATTTTTTTTATATAAATTTTACTCTATTTTATCCAAATTAATTGGTCCTTTAAATTCTCAAAAGTTACATTTTTTGTACCCAAAATTTATTAATTAACAAAATCAAGTCCTTAAATTTTGGTCCCTCAATTTTTTATTATTATAAATTATTCTAAGTAGTTCCAAATTCCATAATGGCCACTAAACTTTCCTAATTATTTCAAATAAGTTTCTAAACTTTTGATTTCTTCAATTATGTCCCTATGATTTTTCAATTAAACCTCTTGGGTTTTAATATCTTAATAATCAACCATTCATAGTTACTAATTAAGTACTAAATATTTCTTTCATACCTCCTAATATTTATCCACACGCAATTATAATTTTCATACATACATAAATATTAATTCACCCTCTTAATTAAATATTCACCCATTTAATTAAACATTCATGTATTAGAATAAATATCCATACACACTTTTAAAATTATTTATGAGGTTTTAGGTCAAGGATATTACATCCTCATCTCGTAAAAATTTCATCCTCAAAATTTCTTACTCAAACAACTTTGGGTACTTTTTTTTTCATTTCTTCCTCTCTTTCCCAGGATCCTTCTTCTACATTATAATTCCTCCATAAAAATTTAACAAGGAATCTGCTTGCTTCTTAGCTACTTTATTTCTCGATCAAAAATTTGGAATGGTCCTTCTTTATAAGTCAAATCTGTTTATAACTTTAGTGCCTTAGTCTTTAGAATATGGTTCGAGTCTTCAATGTATTTTTAGAACATGGACACATGGAAGATTTTATGCACCAAAGAGAGAGATAGAAGTAAAGCTAACTTATAGGCTTAGTCTCTAATCCTCTTTAGCATTTTGAATGATCGAATATATCATGGACTTAATTTGCCTTTCTTTCCAAATTTCATGATGCCTTTTATTGGAGCAACATTCAAAAATGCTCTATCATTGACTACAAATACTAAATCTTTTCTTATTACGTTAGCATAACTTTTTTATCTATTTTGAGTTGTCTTGATTCTTAGTCCGATTTGCTCTACCACCTTTGCTCGTTTGCTAGACTAGTTTTGATCTTAGTAACTTTCATTCATCAACTTCATCCTAGTGTATTGGGGACTTGTATTTTAATCCATATAATACTTCATATGGTGCCATGTCAATACTTGGTTTGATAACTATTATTATATGCAAATTCCACCAAGGATATGTGTTTTTCCTACCTAGTAGACCAATCTAGTACATATGCTCGAAGTATATCTTTGAGAATCTAATTCACCCTTTCTATCTGCGCCTTTCTATCTACCTATTGGTTAGTAGGTGGATAGTTGTACTAAAATTCATGTTAGTTCCCATCACACGATATAAAATCCCCTAAAACTATGATGTGAACCATAGGTCTCAATCAAAAACAATTAAAATCAATATTCCATATAATCTCATAATCTCTTTTAGGTATAATTCTATATGCTACTATATGGAATATGTGGACTTAACTACCAAAAAGTGAGTTGTCTTAGTTTATCAACGATCACCTAAATATGGTTAGCTCTTCTCTTGGATCTAGGTAATTCGAATATGATGTCCATAGTGATGTGTTCCTATTTCTACTCAAGATTATCTAGTGGCCTTAGTAGTCCCGAGGGTCTTTGATATCGACCATATCTTGTTGACATGTCAAACATCTTACCACGGAACTAGCAATGTCTCGCTTTATTCCTCTTCACCAATAAGTCTTATTTAGATCTTGATAGATTTTATTACTTCTTGGATGGATGGAGTAGGGCATGGTATGAATTTCTTTTAGGATATCATCCCGGAGCTCCTTAATTACAAAAACACATATTCTATTATTGTAGTGCCAAGTACCATCAACATCATTGGCAAAATTAATCTTTTTCCTTTTAGTTACTTCTTATTAAATCTTCAATAAATCGACATCTTATACTTGTTCATTCTCAATCTTCTATCTCAAATACGATTTTAACACCGAGTGCACCTAATACACTATTGTTAGTTCCTACTAGTATAATTTTCAACTAAAGTCTTTCCATGGCTCTAATAATTTCTACTTGAAAGATGTTATTGACTTTCTACTCAAAGTATATACCATGATGCTTACTTTACCAAGATGGTAATGAAAAGCAATATTATGATCATTTAACACTTCAAGCCATCTCTTTTGTCTCAAGTTTAGCTTCATGTAAAAATGTACTAGCAACTCTTATGATCAATATAAATATAATACTTAACATCATATAGTTAGTGCCTCTAAATTTTTAATACAAAGATCAAGATAACTAACTCCAAATCATGAGTGGGATAGTTTTTCTTGTAGTTTTTTAATTACCAAGTATAGGCATTCTATGTTGCATTAAAATTGCTATTAATCCGATTCTTAATGCTTATGTATAGATCGTAAAATCTTCATTATTCTCAAAAGAGCTAAAATGGTTGCTATAATCAACCTAAATTTTAACTCTTAGAAACTTCTATCATAGTCACCATTCCACTCAAATTTAGAATTTTTTTTTTCGTGTTAACTTGGTCGGTGGCATGACTATATTAGAGAACCCCTTCATAAATTTCCTATAACAATATGTCATTTTAAGAAAACTTCGAGTTTAGATACATTCCTTAGTTGCTTCCATCCTTGGACTGCTCGTACCTTATTAGGATCCACCATAATCCCATCTTTAGAAACCACATATCCATAGAAGGCTACTCACTTGAGCTAAAATACACACTTTTTAATTTTGGCATATAATTTATGCTCGTATAATGTCTATAGTGCCTTTGTCAAGTGCTCCACTCGCTTCTTATGCAATTTGGAATATATTAGGATACCATCTATAAAAACTATAATGAAACTATCTAAATATTCATGGAATGCCCGGCTCATCAAATCCTTGAAAATGATTGGAGTATTAGTCAACTCTGAATCGCATTGCTAAAAATACATAATGCCTATATTAAATCCTAAAGTTTATGTTCTTTATGTCCTTTTCCTTAATCCTTCGTTGATGGTGCCTTAAATGCAGATCAATTTTAGAAAATACTTCCTCGTAATTGGTAAGACAAATCATCAATGTGAGGAAATGGATATTTATTCTTAATGGTCACTCGATTTAATTCACGATCATCAATACATGATGGTAGTGACCATCCTTCATCTTAAGAAACAATACTAGTGCTCCCCATGGTGAATAGCTTAGCAGAATATAGACTTTATCTATCAATTTTTATAGTTGAGTCTTTAAATCCTTTAATTTTTTTTAAAGCCATCCTATAAGGTGCCCTTGATATTAGCATTGTTCCCGATTCTAATTTAGTCTTGAACATAATTTTCCTCCTTGGTGATAATCCCGACAATCTCTTATAAAAAACATCTAGGAAATCTTTCACTACCTCAATATCCTCTAACCTTGGACTCCACTTCTTAACATTATCCACCATATTCACTAGATAAACCATGCATTTAAATTTGATCATCTTCTAGGTTTTCATTACAAAAACTATGGTTACGAGCTTCACTTTAGTTTTGACCTGCAACTCAAATGGTTGTTCTCTTAGTGGATGAAATATTGCTTTTTTGGTTGGAGAATCAATGGATGACCTATACTTAGATAAATAATCCATGATCAAGATGATTTCAAAATATTTAAGCCTCAATTCTATCAAATCAAGATTTAACACATTACCACTCA